TTTTGTTCCTTTTTCATCTTAATAAATAAATTTATTTATTTATTTATTAGTCAACTAATTCGTTTATTGATTGATTGATTGATTGATTGATTGATTGATTTGTTTGTTTATTTATTTATTTGTTATTTGTTTGTTTATTTATTCATTCATTCATTCATTCATTCATTCTTTCATTCATTCATTCATTCATTCATTCATTCATTCATTCATTCATTCATTCATTCATTCTTTCATTTCTTTCTTTCTTTCTTTCTTTCTTTCTTTCTTTATTTGTCTATTTTTTCCTGAGGGAGGGAGTCGTTTGCTCTGCATGCTCAAACAGGGTGTGCAGATAAAACAGAGAGGACCTTCTTAAAAGGCAATAACTCGGTCATTGGCGCATTAATTTCAAAACTTGGAACAAATAAACTTCATCTAGGAGAACATCAAGTATGTAAATGGGAAGAAAATCCGTAGTTTTCTTTGTTCAATATCAAGTTTTTAAAATTTCAAACCAAATTTGGGTAAAACGAAACATTTCACTTGTTAGGAACGTTCAGATACAGGGGCGTGATCGTCCCGTTTTGGTTTCAGGACAAGAACGGTAAAACCACGACAGTCACATCAGATGGATATCTCACCGTGCTGGGAAAGTTTTGGAGAAGTTTGGAGAGGAAGTGTATGCTGATGAGGTCTGGTTCTAGTGGGATGGGCCCACACCCCAAACGTCTAGAGTGGGAACGTTTTATAGGCCGAAAGTTTACAAATGAATGGTCCCCACATTCCCCCAAATTTGAGCCCTTTAAATTATTACCTTTGGGGTGTTTTTGACCTACAGAGTCTACGGAAACAAGCCACAAACGATCAGCCTATAACATTATATCATGACAATGCATCAGCCATCCAATCGGTATTAAATTCTTAAAAATCAAGAATAACGTCGCTGTAATGAATTTACAGCCTGTCATTTCACCAGTTTATAACCCAATTGAGTACCTGTTGGGAAGATAAACTGTGTTGCTCGTGACTTGAATCCCGGTTTCAGAACCTTTTTACAGCTGCTGCAAGCCCTCACCTATGCCTGAAACAACTTTTTGATGGAAGACTCGTGTGATCTTCTGTGCAGGATATCCACTGATGTGTTGAACGCACCTTGGAGATCACAAGGCATAGATCTACTGATATGTGAATTTTGTATTTTACCCCTATTGTCAAATTTCAGTCATAAAAGAGTTGTTTTTTTCCAGAAGAATAATCCTTTCACTTTGATTTATCTATGGAATACTTCATATTTCAATTGAATGGTTGAAAGAATCATTATTTTTCTACAAGAAAGGCGAACCGATCGAAAATATAGGGTTGTACCTTTCTCTTGATCGCTAGTATAACCATCGAGCGTGGATAGGGGATGTTGTCCTTTGCAGGACATTACGTATGTGGTATCTTGTACCGGTACGCATACAATCTTTGGGGTCAGGAGGCTTAAATTTTACCGTAACAAACGAAAGAACAGCCTCGAGCGGACTAGAAAATATGAAGTTCTCCCGGGGTTTTAGAGAAATCACACAAGAACTATTAAAATTATTTTTTAATGGTACCGTATCAATCTTGATGTATACACAAATCGCTTGTTCTACACTAGAGTCAGAGTTTACAGAGACTGCTACTCCTGCACCAGTGGTGTGCAGAAGCAATGGGTACATGTGTAATCAGCAAAGATCAAGCCCAACTCGGGTGGTTAAGAAGATGTGCATAGTTGACAGAATCTTTGCTTGCGCCAGACACGTTGGTACCGTTTTCATGAAGTGCTGTGGAAAGAAGAACAAATGTCATATTGAGTATACCCGTTAGTAGTTAAGAGATTTTATTTGAACATGTTGTGTTTTGTAGAATTACAGTTATAGATCTCTCTCTCTCTCTCTCTCTCTCTCTCTCTCTCTCTCTCTCTCTCTCTCTCTCTCTCTCTCTCTCTCTCTCTCTCTGTCTCTCTCTCTCTCTCTCTCTCTCTTTCTTTCTCTCTCTCTAGATAAATAGATAGATAGATAGATAGATAGATAGATAGATAGATAGATAGATAGATAGATAGATAGATAGATAGATAGATAGATACTCTCATGCATGAGATTACCAAAATGTTCAAACCATAAAGACACGGGCAAGCATACAGGTCGTTCATAGTTTGAATAGATACATATTTTTTAATGTCTTATTAGTGTGTGGCAACGTCACACAGGCCAGAATGTGGAAACGGGGGTTGGAGACATTGTCTAGGTCCGTTTCCTTCCGAAACATAATAATAAATTTAATGAGACTTTAGTCTAAAATCGTTCCTTATAAGGGAGATTCAAACAAAACCACTCCAGCCTACTATGAACATGATTTCACAGCAAGTAGCCATACCCTGCCCAAACCGATTTTTTCTTCTTTGAAAACGTTAAGTCAGGCTTAATTCTACAGGTCTATATTAATAATATTATAGTGTGTACACGAGAAACACTAAATCATTTTCGAAGACTGCGTTTTTTATTGCTACTTTATGGAAGCCGTGTTGTTTTCACAAAGACCTTGTAGGCTAGTCAATTACGAGACAGTAGTTTAACATCAGACGTTTAAAAGGGTTCGTAATTTTACACCTAAAAAGAAGTGTCCTTGTACGAGTATTTCGAAAGCACTTACAAAAAAATCTGCGAAGAAAACATTAGTAGGCTTTTATGTAATGTCAACGCTTCTTACTGTATGTAAAATGTCACTCTGAAAATATCACTTTTTTTCCCCAAGGATTGCTTTTGGTGTGCCTGCTACATGATGCGGTTGACTTTTTCGTTTTTCCAGACGAATCCAAATGTTCTCTTTCTTTATTCTTGCTTTATATGTAGATGGACCATATTATACTTATACTTAGTATGACACGGCAACAAAATGCAGAGTTTGAAGAGGAGTCTTGTTGTCTTATCTGGTATGAAGAAACTATCCGGATTTTACGTAATATACGTCTGTAGTTACTTTTCCCCGAGATTCCTGTGTTTGAAAAGTCTTTTCTGTATTTTAGTCTGTTTTACTATGGTGGACATTTGCCAGAAGTTTTCCACTTGGCAACAAACATAGCAACTGGAATAACAACTTACGGGTATTTGCGTACTATCAGGGTGCTCGTATCGTTTGGAAGTTAGGTTGGTTTTCATGGCCCAGCCAAAAGCGTTGAGTTCACCCCCATTGTAGAGGAGGAAAACAGGCAACATTTTGTTACAGTCCATGTCTTTGTTTTCTGTCAGACTGTGCCAGTAGTGTTTTCCTGGAAATAAGCGGGAAGAGCAGTATGAAAAGAATATTTAAGACTAGTTAGTTGGAAACGTCTCTGGTTAAACTTTATTTTCACCAGAGATTTGCAGATTGTCTCAAGGACAGCATGTAACTCACTCATTCTGAGAAGGAATAACATTGAAAAAGCAACTTTAGTCCGTTGGATCATAAAGGGATTCTGACAATTTTGGTCGTTATGCTAACCCCTCCCCCCTTTTCAATAAAAAATTAGCACTCACACACACACAAACATACACACACACACACACACATACACACACACATGCACACACGCGCGCACACACACACCCACACACACACACACACACACACACACACACACACACACACACACGCACGCACGCACACACACACACAAGAACACACACACACAAGAACACACACACAAAACACTCCTTTATTTGGCTGAGTCCACCCGAGGTTAAAATCAACCGGTCAAAGGTAAGAGCCTCTTTGTGACGAAAATTAATTATATTAATAAATCAAATGTCCCTATTAGCACCCCCACCCCCACCTCCAAGGGAAAAAAAATCAACACTCCTCAAAGCCGACCCTGTGCGTGCGCGGGGGCGTGCGTGCGTTGGGGCGTGCGTGCGTATGTGTGTGCGTTTATAATTTATTAGGGGTTTCATAAAGTAAGATAAAAATCATTAGGCTTAAATCATACTTACCCATAGTTAAGAAACAACTTCCTTCTGTCCATTCAGAAGCTTTCTTTGCGTCACTCTCATGGCGGGGGACGATTGTGCTTGCCTCAGGATTATCGTTCTTTTGGATGTACAGGTTTGTACCCGTGCCGTGTGAAGAGAACTGTGCCGCTGATCTACCCGTGGTGCAGATAGTGGCTGTGGTGTAGTATGGAGGACATAATATATAAAAGTCGTAAGAGAATGGCGATGCAAAAGAATGGTAGAAAGAATTTAGAGCAAAAAGATCATTCCAGCAAAATCATGATAGAACTAACGCCACCCATTAGCCTACGATGAAAATGGCTTATAGAAGAAAACGGACCTTAAGTAAGTTATGTATCTGCTGACTATTTATTACAAGTGATTTTTGCATCGATTGCCAGTGCCCCGGGTTGTATGGAGAACTATATAATAATATATTATTTCCCCCCTTTGCTTTTCTTTTTCTTAACGAGTGCCCCAACTTGCCCCAAGTCAAAATTCCACCCTTTACCCTTATCGTCTACAAGGACAACATGAACAACAAACCACCGTTATAAAAGCAAAGCTGATAAAAAGCAAAATACATGTCAACATCTACCCTACAAAGACATCAAACGAAGCACCAAGGGGGAAAATAAATCAAAATACTGTTCAAAATGTTGGAGTAAGTTGGAATGTAGTCTAAATAAAAAACAATTCCAGTTTTCATTTTAAAAAATCTGCCCAACCACTGCGAATTTATAAAAACCTAGTGATTTCTGCATGAGTCAAAATCTCCTCAGAAAATAGCATTAAAAAGGAAGATTTCCAGCTACCTGGCCACACTGTCGGGGCTTGAAATATTTGAGATGGTGGGCCAGCTTGTGTAACGATTAGAACTTGACTTGCTGCAAAATAGTTCAACTTTACGATAGCTTGTTCACTTTCCTCTGATAGTGTTTAAAACAAGGTAAAATGAAACCACTCTGTTTAATCTTCTCAGTCTGATCTTTGCATACGGGTTCGGAAGTTAGAAAATCAACAGAATCTAAAAGCCCATTCATAAAAGTCACTGTAAACTAAGGATCCGATACGTTTTCTTTGATGTTAGTCTAGAGTGGGTTTACAAAATAATAAGAAATTAACAACATACACCCAAAGCATTAAAAAGTTGACTTACATTTTCTTCAACACCACATTATTACGTATGCCTATGAAACACAATTCAAAAGACAGCGTGAGTACTTTTCGAGACTCACTCGGAGACCACAAGACAGTCGCGGATAAAATCTACAAGCTTACATTGGATTCATAAGGGGACAAGGTGAGTTCGTTGTCTTAAAATGAGCAATTTGTAGGATAGGTTACTGTATGTCATTTATTTTAATAATCTTGTGTAGGCACCCAAAGAGCTGTTTTTAATGACTGGATCAAGATATTCAAAAAAAATTAATATATTTTTGTTTGGTCACTGGCCTGCAGAGGTGCCGTGCAAAGTTTCGTGGGCACAGGTAAATTAATGAATGAATTATATATATATTTTTTTTACACAAACAGACAAAAGTGAACAGTGATGCGTTGCAGAGAGTAAGAATAACTTACAGGGATCCACGAAGTAAGCTGTGATTGTGTAGCGGTCCCCATCCTTCACAAAAACTGAGTCGCTTCTATGGGTGGGGTATCCATCGGCCAGATTGTTGGGGACCTGGGAGGGGGGAAGGTGTTCGATTCAATGAGAAAATGTGGAGAGAAAAGGGATAAAATGCAAAAGGAGAAGCTGGTAGAGGGAGATGGCGAGGGAAGGAGAGGGAGAGAGAGAGGGTAGGAGTAAAAGGGAGGGAGGGGGGAGA